GCCTTCAGGAAGCCATCTGCTTTGCGGGAGCGGAAGGGAAGGTGACCGGGGCTGAAGATGATCGATTGCTTCAAGAAGCGAATGGCAAGTAACGGGCGTATAAGGCACAACACTGCCTGTCAGTTAGCACAGGCACACGGGAAGAGCGCCATACAACAGACCAGAATGACCACGACATGGATGGGTCTTCACCCACACACACACACTCACAGAAGACACGTGCCCAGACACAACATACGACACATCCACAGCAGAACTTAATAATGTGTGATAGCCTTATATTTAGGAGCCACAGTGCTCTGCACACAAAAACTCTGTTTTAAGCTCTCTAGCATTAAGTCTATGTTAAATAAAGTCCCGTCTGACTTTTTTTTTTTTTTTTTTTTTTTTTGTAGTACTATCCCATCCTGTTTGTCCTACTCTGACTTTGTTGTGTCTTCAAGAGCCATGATTCCACCTCGAACACAGGCTGGGCTCTCCCAGAGCATCAGAAGCACAGGCGTTGCGTTGGAGAACAGGGGAGCCTGAGATCCGTCGCTAACTCCGCTGCTTAGTTTAGCAGCCCATTTTGGGAACATCCTCCGTTGCCGTCAATTCTGACTTGGGACCTTGTTCCACACTCCACATCATCCTCTTGCTCCGCCACCCCAACAGCAGCCAAAGCGCCTGGCCCTCTAGGAGGAGGACAACGCAGATACTCCAAATGGAGTATACCAGCTCTGTCTGGGACGCGGCCCTCCTTGTGCTTCGCGTATCTAGTCAGTTTCACAGAAAACATGCGAAGGAGTCAAAATACACAGCTAACTTTTTCCTAACTTCCCCTGTCCCAGGCGTTGCTTCGAGTTCCCGGAAAAAGATTAAGTCAATCAGCTCTCTGTTAAAAGAATGGACACTCAAGAACCATGCCATTCACGCCGCCGTCTTTAGGATCTGAGTACCCATCCCTTGGAGAGTACACCTGTCTCTGCCTTTCCTAGACCCAGCGTAGAGTCGCGCGCTTCTGAAGGTTCTCCATCCCAGAGTCCCTCAGCTCGATTCGTGTCCCACTTGTTTCCAGCGAACCTGTCCATCCCGTTTCCAATCAGAGCGTGTGAAAGAAGTGTCAGAGAGAAGATCACATGAGTATAAACTGTGTGCTCAGGCTCACTCTTGAGTGGGGTGGTAAGTTGCCGTATTGAGGAGCTTCAGAAGAAACATGATCGTGTGAGGCTAAACAGAGATTCCAAACTGTCCACTATTGAATAGGAGCAATAAGTTCTCCAGCAGAGTGAAGCCACTCCTGCTACTGTATAAGGCTTAGCCTCTTACCGTTCATGGTCCTAAAGTGCTAAGAAGTCGGTGCCAGTATAAACACGATAGGCTGACAGCAGGTGTATAGTTGTATCAAGAATTGAAGCAGATGCGCGTCGGTCACTGAGTGAAGTCTACCAAACATTTAAGAATAAATTATACCAACTCCTTTACAGTCTTTCCAGAAGATAGAAGCAGCTGATACTTCCGTAAGTTCATTCCATCTGGAATACAAAATCAAGATAAGAAGACATTAAAAAAAGAACTGGCGGCCGTGTGCCTAGAGGCCTGTAGATCCTAGCACTTGCGGGGGGGCGGGGGGAGCAGGAGGAGGGCCCAACACTTTTTGAGCTCAGAGTTCAAGACCAGCCGAGCAAGAGCCAACGATCCCCGCACTTAGCCCAGCAACAGAGTGAGATTCTATTTCAAAAGAAGAAACAAGATAGAAGACGTATAGACGCTGATTAGTCGTCTCCATGATCATAGATGCAAAAATACTCAGACAAGAATGATCTAGCAATGAATGCAAAATGTATAAAAATAAGTTGTATGCGCGACATAAACCAAACTGGGATTCTATCCCACAGGGCGCGGCGGCGTAGTGCAAGGTAGTTTCAAAATTCAACACTTAGCTAAGGTGTAGATCCGATCACAGCTTAGACAGCTAAGAAGAAAAATCACTTTGATCATATTAATAGATGAAGATAAAAGTATATTTGACAAAATCCAAGCACCCATTGCATAGTAAAAGAACACCGAGGTAAACACTAGAAATAGAGCGAGAACGTTCGTCAGGACTTGATAAACACTTCTACAAAAGCCTACAGCCCTAACCATCATACTTGGAATGATGGCAAAAAGATCTTGAAGGCTTCCTGCTAACGATCAGAGCAAAGCATGCGTATGTGCCACTCAGATCACTTGGGCTTTTCGAATATTTGTACTAGAGGTCCCAGGCTAATGCAAGTAAGACAAAGAAGAAATAACGAGAGACAGTAGCAGATTGGAGAAGAAAGTATTAAGAACGTGTCTTGTTCACGACTGACATGTGTCAGTCTATGTAGAAAATCTCAAAAGGAAGTCAACAGAAAAAGAAAGCTTTTGTACACTAATCTTACTTATATTATGAAACCTTGCTATTACATATAATTGCTTTTTAGTTTTGGGAATTTTTTTGTTGATTCTTTTAGATTTTCTACATAGACTATCATGTCATCTGTGAACAAAGACAGTTTTAATACTTTCTTTCTAATCTGTATGTCTTTTATTTCCTTCTTTGTCTTATTGCATTAGCTGGGACCTCTAGTACAATATTGAAAAGCAGTGATGAGTGGGCACATTATGCTTTTGCTCCTGATCTTAGCAGGAAAGCTTCAAGTTTCTCATCATTAAGTATGATGTTAGCCGTAGGCTTTTTGTAGAAGTGTTTTATCAAGCTGAGAAGTTCTCCTCTATTTCTTTCGCCATTTTTGTGAAACTGATAGATACCAGCACAAGGAGGGGTCCCAGGACAGAGCCTGGTATACTCCATTTGGAGGTATCTCTGTCCTCCTCCCTAGAGGGCCAGGCTTTGGCCTGTGTTGGGGTGGGGGATGAAGAGGGTGATGTGGAGTGTGAAGCAAGGTCCCAAGTCAGAATTGGAGCAACTGAGGATTTCCAAAATGGTGTAACTAAGAGCCGATTAGGACTGGATCCAGGCCTCCCCTGTTCCTCCACCACCCTGTGCCTTCTGATGCTTGGGAGAAGCCTTGTGTTGAGTGGAATCCATGGCTTTGAAGACACAAAAAGTCAGAGGGACTTTATTTAAATAGACTTTAATTAGAAGTAAACCAGAGTTTTGTGTGCAGAAGCACTGTGCTTAAATTAAGGCTATCACACCATTATTAATTCTGCTGTGTGATGTGTGTATGTGTGTGTGCATAGGCCAGTGTCTTCCCTGTGAGTGTGTGTGTGTGTGTGTGTGTGTGTGTGTGTGAAGACCCCATCCATTCGTGTATTTGGTCTTTATGGCCTCTTCCCGTGTGCCTGTGCCTACTGACAGGCAGTGTTGTCCTTATACCCGTTATTCATTCTCTTTGAAGAATCCCGATCATCTTCAGTCACCTTCCCCTTCCGCCTCCGCAAAGCAATGGCTCCTGAAGTGTGCGGCGAGGATGGGGTGGGCCCTGAGGTATCCTAGGCCACAGCTGTCCCTTTGGGCGAGGCCTCAGCTTTCCGAGTCCAGGCGGTAGTCGTAGTACTTGGTCCCGGAGCAGCCCCAGAAGCGCAGGACCACAAAGACCGCGACCCCGAGCACCAAGAGGACGCTCAGGGCCCCAAAGAGGATCCCGAAGAACGCGCCGAGTTTCACACTCAGGTGCTCACAGCGCTCGCCCCAGGCGGTGTAGATGGTGAAGGACACACAGCTGGGGACAGAGGGGGCGCCCGATCAGGGGCGGGGAGGCGGGTGCGCAGCCTGCCCGCCGCTCCTCTTCCGCTGGGGCCAGGGGAGGTTCTCCAGGGCAGGCTGGGCACCCACTGGAGAGAGGCCGAGTCAGCCCCGAGGCCGGGCTGAGGCGAGGCCTCCGGGCAAACGAGGCAGGCGCAGGCCTGAAAAACGCGGGTGTGAACAGCAGGGACCCCGCTGGTCACGGGTGGGCGGGCGCAGCCGCAAGCCCCGCCCCTCCCCGCCCCTCCGGAGAGCTGGGCCCCGCCCCGCCCGCTCTGAGCCTATCCGGACCTGCGGCGGGCGCCGGCTGGCGGAGGACGGCGCGCACTGACTGCACTCCCGTCACCCGAGCCCCTCCGCCTGCTAATGAGCACAGGGGCCACAGGCGCCTCCCCTGACTGAGTACTCTTGACAGAGGGGCAGGCCTGGCCCTGGACACAGACGGCGGGTTCCGCTCCCACAGGAGGCTGCAGGGTGTCCACTCAAGAAGCAAAATCGGGTGGAAGAGTTAGGGTTTGGAAACCATCCCCTGCGACTCCCCGGTACCTTGGGCAGGTTTCTTGTCATCTCCAAGCCACGGTTTTCTCATCTCCAGCATGGTCCTAATACCCACCTGGTGGCTCGTTTGAGTTTCGGAGGTAAATATAACACGTTTATTCTCCCCAGAGAGCAGGCCCTCACAACGGTTCTTTCCCGCTGTCTGGCCCCTGGTCTCTCTCACTACCAGGCGAGCCACCCTGACTTTCACACGTGAGGTACCCTGGCATTCCTGGACCGCCAGCAGAGTCTTGCCCAGTTTGGATTCCCCTCACTGTCTTTCCCCTCCTGCACCCGGCCCCACGCACCTGCAGCGGGGCCCATCCGGCAGGTGCTGGCACTGGCCACCGTGATCACAGAAGCCCTCACTGCACGGGGACACGCAGGTGAGGCCGCTCTCGGGGCTGTAGACCATGTGGTAGCCCTTGTAGCCACTACAGCTGAAGTAAGTCTTCAGCGTGCTCAAGTTCACTGTCAGGGAGGACACGGATTAACATGGAAAGCAACTGATTAGCACTAAATACATTTTCACTTAACAATTTCATTTTCAGGTGATCATTCTGAGAAATAATTGGAAAACTGCATAAATGTACATGTCCTTGGATATTCAGATCAGCGTAGTCCATAATAGCAACAATGTTTAACAAGAGGCTTCTTGTTAAATAAGTTACTGTATATCCCTACCAAGGGAACCACAGTTTCAATGGTATGGAAAATGCTTTCCTAAAAAGTATATGCTTTGAACTTGGCCAGACCTGGGTTGTAACTCACATTCTACTATTAACTTGCTGTGTGATGTGGGGTAAATTTCTTAACTCTTTCAGCCTCAGTTTCTTCATTTATTTATTTTTTTTTTGAGACAGAGTCTCACTTTGTTGCCCAGGCTAGAGTGAGTGCCGTGGTGTCAGCCTAGCTCACAGCAACCTCAAACTCCTGGGCTCAAGCGATCCTGCCGCCTCAGCCTCCCAAGTAGCTGGGACTATAGGCATGTGCCACCATGCCCGGCTAATTTTTTGTATATATATTTTTAGTTGGTCAATTAATTTCTTTTTATTTTTAGTAGAGATGGGGTCTCACTCAGACTGGTTTCGAACTCCTGACCTTGAGCAATCCGCCTGCCTCAGTGTTAGGATTACAGGCGTGAGCCACCATGTCCGGCCAGTTTCCTTATTTTTAAAAGGAAATAACAATAATAGCACTTATGAGATTTAAATGAGATAATGCATGCAGAGTCCTCAGTACAGTGCCTGACACACGGTAAGCACTCAACAAGTGGTAACTATTATGATATATTTAAAATATAAGATGCTATTTTCAAACATACCATAAAATGTCGAATGGGAATATATGCACAATATATGAGTAATATGGTCATAATTGTTTAATGAGGAGGTTATCAAACATTAGGTATGATTTGATCCCTTAATAAAAAACTGATATGTGTGAAAGTTCCTAGGCACAAAAGAAAGTTTAGAAGGATGTGTACAAAATATAGTTGTCTCTGAGGATTGGGATTATGGGTTATTTTTTTCCTCTTCTTTTTGTTAATTTGTGTTTCCTAGAGTTTTTGCAATAAACATATTATACTTGGGCCAGGTGCGGTGGCTCATGCCTGTAATCCTAGCACTCAAAGACAGGAGTATGAAACCAGCCTGAGCAAGAGTGAGGCCCCGTCTCTACTAAAAATAGAAAGAAATTAATTGGCCAACTTAAAATATATAGAAAAAAATAGCCAGGCATGGTGGCACATGCCTGTAGTCCCAGCTACTCGGGAGGCTGAGGCAGAAGGATTGCTTGAGCCCAGGAGTTTGAGGTTGCTGTGAGCTAGGCTGACGCCACGGCACTCACTCTAGTCTGGGCAACAAAGTGAGACTCTGTCTCAAAAAACAAACAAACAAACAAACAAACCCCATATTATACTTGTATAATAGAAATTGTGGATTTTCTTTAACACCATAGTCAGGGCTGAGGTCTTTGCTCCCTTACTGCCTCCCCACTCCTCCCACCCTGACTCCTTAACATTTAGTAGTCCTGAGGATTTCGCCTTGTTGTCCCAGGAAGGAGGAGGCTTAACCTGGATTCTAGGGGAAGCTCTCTTGCTTGGTTCTGGACCGTAGTGAAACAGCAGTTTCTGTTGTGTTCAGACTGGTCACTACCCTATTCTTTGCCCTGTTCCAGAAAATAGGGTGGGTTAGTCCTTTCTGTCTCTGGCAAGCTTGCCAACTTATCACTCCTGTTCCAGGAGAACCAGGGGCTGTCAGACCTAAAAGGGGCTTCGGAAATCCTGTCTCGTTTTTAGATGGGGATGTTGAGGCCTGGCCTGCGGACTGTGCTTGCACAGGGCCATACCCTTCCAAAGAGGGTGCTATCTCTGTCCCTGGCCAGTCTCCAGCCTTCAGCTTAATATCCTCCAGCTGGAGGGCAAAGACGAGGGAATGTCCTTGTATATGTTTAAGTGCAACAATATTTTAAGAAAACCATTAGCAATAGTCAGCAAGGCCTCAGCAGGAGAAATTGCTCTGTGAAACTGTACACATGTGGGTGCATCAGCAGCATTTTGTGCTCCTGCTCTTGAATCTCAAATGCTGATGAGGCCAGGCGCGGTGGCTCACGCCTGTAATCCTAGCACTCTGGGAGGCTGAGGCGGGCGGATTGCTCGAGGTTGGGAGTTCGAAACCATCCTGAGCAAGACCCCGTCTCTACTAAAAAATAGAAAGAAATTAATTGACCAATTAAAAATATATATACAAAAAATTAGCCGGGCATGGTGGTGCATGCCTGTAGTCCCAGCTACTCGGGAGGCTGAGGCAGGAGGATTGCTTGAGCCCAGGAGTTTGAGGTTGCTGTGAGCTAGGCTGACACCACGGCACTCACTCAAGCCAGGGCGACAAAAGTGAGACTCTGTCTCAAAAAAATAAATAAATAAATAAATAAAAATAAAAAGCTGATGAGTAAAATATTTACATTTTTTCTCAAAAGTTACAAAACAAAGAAATCTAAATTAGCATGACTCTTCCTTGTCTGCGGACCTCCACAGAACACTTTTCTATCATGAGTGTGTGGGGGCTGAAGACCTGTGACAAGCTTCCTCTATTTACTCCACCCCCCCCCAGTTACCCTTGTACTTTCCCCAAGATACAGTAACTCACGAGCCATCTCATCACGCACGTCTTCTCTGGAGATGGGGTGGAAGACCACATTGTTCCTGGACCCCTCACTCCTCTTTGACCTCCTGGCCGGCACCTGGTGTAAGAATGCCTCCACCACTGCGCCCAGCAGCTGGTTGTTCAAGAAGTGAATGACAGGGCCCCAGGGGCGGTACTGGAACTCTGAGATGACCTTCCAGTGTTGAGTGGAGCTTCCTGAGGCTGGTGCTAGGGAACGGCTGTGTGTGGGGGAGACAGTGAGGAGGTAAGTGACATGGGGTGGACGAGAAGACCCAGGGACTTACAGAGGGACAGTCCCACTTACATTAGCTCCACTTTGCTGTTCTGGAGAAAGGCCCGCACCGCCAGGGTCCCCAGTCTGTATGCCACCTAGGGCAGAGGATAGGGGGAGGTGGTGGGGGTGGTGAGGTCTCCGCCCAGTCCAGGGAGGAGATCCCACCCACCGTAATGCCTTTATTCATCCCTGTCTGTTTCCACCTTTGAATGTGAGCCCCAGGAGCCCCAGAACATTTCTCACCCATCGCTGCATCCTCACACCCTAGCCTAGTGCAGAGACGGTGGGTCCTCAGTAATATTTGTTGGTGAATGGGGGGCCAACATTACTTTCCCCCTCCTCTGCTCATCTTACAAAGGGAGAATCTGACATGAATGGCCCCTAACCCCTGACTCACCAACTCATTCTTTCCCCACATGCATATTGGACATCAGTTTTTTAGGCAGACCTACAGGGAGGTCAGATGCTGGGGGAGGCAATATGACTTAGGAATAGTCTGTGTTCAAAAAGCCCAGAATCAGGCCCAGTAGACAAATACCAACAGATATGACCATGTGGAGTGTGTGGAGTGCTGTGCTAGTAGTAGCAATAATTGGAATAACAAGTTTTGAACACTTGTGTTTCAGGCACCATGCTCAGTGCTTTACATATATGATCATTTAAACCTTGATACGACTTATTGACATAGCTACTATTATTGTCCCTATTTTTACAGATGACCTGCTACATAATGTGTCTAATTATTACACCTGCTTCAGTAAGTGGCTGAGCAGGGATTTGAATCGGGTGTGTAGGATTCTAGAGCCTCAGCACTGAATAGCTGTGCTACTTTGCCTGTGACTGAGGTGCAGATGAGGGCATGGAGCCAAGAAGAAGGAGCCCCAATTCCCTCTGGGAAGTCCAGAAGGCTCCTTGGGGGTGCAGTGCCCTCAGGGTTCTTCCATATAATACCCAAGAAATGCAGGTCTCAAGGGGTGCTCAGAGGTGGAGGTGGGGGTGACTTGGCACTGTAGGCTCTGCTCATGCTGAGTTGGTGATTCTAACAGCTTTTGAGGTCTCTGTCCTGGGGCTTTCTGACTTCCTAACCCCCTCAGACCTCCCCTGGAGCAAGAGGATCCGGCCTCCTCTGGCAATTGAATCGAGATGAACGACAAGATGAAGGACACACAAGTGATGGCTCAGCCCTTGTCCGAACCTGCCAAGATCCACCTCCCACCCTAACCCCAGCTACAGCACTGACCGAGGCGTTGACATCTGTCATGGAGGCATTTTGGTCTTCACTGAGTGAGATCTGGATGACTCTTAAGGGAAGCTCTGGAGATTAGAGAAACAAATTCATCACCACCTCACAGGTTTACCCAGATTTACCCAAGAAGGCCGTTGGGCCAGTCCAAGAGAACTGCTCTATGTCACAGTGACAGAAGGTCACTGGAGAAATCAGAACCGGTCCCCCTCACCCTAGTGCTCATTCTGTATGGCTAGGGCTTCCCTGACTCTCATCTCACTGAGCCATGAGGTGTCTGCTTCAGTCTTTCCCCAGGAGACCGCACAGGCTGGTGGTCCATGCTGCGACAGCTGCCCTCCCCAGCTCCCACGGCCTATGACTTACCACCACCCGAGAGAAAGCTGGATTCTGCCTGTGAGTTTGAGGAACTTGGCCCTGGACCCCAGAGTTCCCTCATCTCCCCCAAAGGTGGGAGAAGTGTGGAGGTAGGGATGGCAAGGGTGTCTGGTGCTACCTGGACTCGCCGTTGGAGTGAAGTTGTTCCCAGCCAGGAAGCAGCGGGTGTCGGTGAAGGCCGGGGGGCAGGTACATGTGGGTTCACAGCCCAGAGTCTGGGAGATGTAGCAGTGGCCGTGGTTGTAGCAGTAGTTCACAGGACAAGACTTGTTCTGACAGAGGAAAGAGTTCTCCAGAGCTGCAGAGGGAACAGGGAGGTCAGTAATGCCATGCTGAGGTCATAGCGGGGAGGAGGGAGTCCCCAGCCCATGGAAACCTTGGGCTGGTTTGGTTTCTTTTCCCCAAAGCCTGCTCAATCTGCATTCTGCTTGTGGGCCACTCAGAACCTCCAAACCATCCTTCTCCCCCTTTCCAGGCTTTTCTCTGCAGGACAACCCTTTTTTCTCTGACAGGTAAGTATTCTTCCACTTCTGCAGATGGAGTGGAATGCTTGTCAGAACTGGTATCAGGAAAGGACCCAGAAGGCCACAGGAGAGGGGCCCACCAGCCTGCTTTCCTCCCTCTCTCACTTCCATCTCCTTTCTGCCTTTAGAATGCTGTGGTTCTATCCACTCTGGCTTCTGCTCTGAAGACACAGTAATCTCTAGATGTTATTTGGGGACTTGGTGGAGGCTTCACTCATTGTAACTCTAGTGGCTCCAAGAGAGAGGAGGAGATGGCTGGGAGAGGGCTCAAAGGGAAAATGAGGCACCTTTGCCTGCAGATCCCCATGGTGGTTCCTCCAAATGTCCTGACTTGTGAGATGCAGAGACCCTGGGCCTCCTGTGTCTGAAGACCCCAAGGAGCCCGATGGCCCCAACTTGCCCTGGGTCCCCTGGGTGCTGCTGGAAGTCCCCTCCCCTCTCCAGACCATCTTAAGTCTTTTTCCCTGTTTTTCCCCATCAGTGCTCTGCCCTGTCCCCTCGCCTGTGCCTCTTATCCTTCAGCCCCACACCATCCACCACCCCCTTTCCAAGCCCTCCGTGCCATACTTACTATACTGAGCGTTGTGAAGACTTTCTGGAATAGGGAGAGAAATGGTTTGCCTTTGGCTATCCTAGACCCTTGAGACGTCATCTGTCTCCTCCTGCCTAGAACCTCCTCCTGCCAGGGGCCTGTTCACAGCTCACCTGCACAGTGACGCCCATCCCCAGTGAGGTTTGGAGGGCAGGCCTCGCAGCCCTGCCCAGGAATGCAGCTGACATTCGGGAAGCATTGCTCCTCACAGGGGTCCTTGGAGCGTTCGCAGTAGAGGCCAAAGGTGTCCCCATCACATTTGCAACCAGCCATCTGGAACAAGTTGATGATCACTGGGCAGCCAGGGTGTTGAATTATTAAGGGCTTCTGGATGTTTCTGACTAATCTCTTTGATCTGAGGATCCATGGACCCTGAATCCATGTCTTAGTTCCACCAGTGTCTACTGAGCACCTTCTTGACCAGGCTCTGGGCCTCCAAGTCCCTGTCTAAAGTCACACAGGTGTCCTGCCCATTTGGCCTTGCTGGGCCATTCTTTACCCTGACCCCCTACATGGCCCTGCACCAGGATCTCAGCCTCTTCCCTCTCACACCACATCTCCTTGCCTCTAGAGTAAGACAGGGAATGAATGAATGAATGAGTGAGTGAATGTATGTTCTACAATCCCTTGAAAATTGGATTTCATGTAAGCTGCTGTTTCTTTCTCTGCCTCCCTTCCTGACTCCCAAACCAAGAAGTCAGAGTCTCACTGCTAAGCACTACGAGAAGATTTAGCAACCAGAATAATGGCATAGTGAAGGTCGATGGTTCCAGAATCTCATCATTTCCTGGTCTCTCCTTTATGACTTCCCTGCTGAAACCACTCTGGGAATCTCCTTAAGATAGACCCTTCCAATACTTTCTACTGTCAAGAGTGAATATTTTGGGACATACAGAATAGTATATTGATTTTAATCTCTGTGTTTCCTATTGTGTATTTCTTCCTTTTCTACCTTGGCCTTCCCACCTCTGTCCCTTTCAAGTACCAATTCCCTGCTCATGCTTCAGGAGAAGGGTGTATGTGTGTGTGTGTGTGTTTGTGTGTGTGTGCCTGTGTGTAAGTGCCCATGTTGGGGGGCAAAGGAGGGGGTTGTGTGTTGCCAGACAAACACTTTCCGTTTTGGCTCCTCCTTTACAACCAAAAAATAAAAAGCAGACAGGACAAGAGTCATGGATTTAGGCCAAGTATTTTGGCTGAAACTGGAATGCAGAAGCAACTTCTCCAAACTGAAAAGAGATGTTACTTTTAGCTGGAGGGAGAGGGTAAAAGAGAAAATAAAGGGGTTTGGGGTGTCAAGATAAAGGGGACCTGCACCTCTCTTCCCAACACCGTGATGATGAGACCCCAGAGAGACCCCACCCCGTGCTGCCTGTAGGCAGTGGGACCACAAGTAGCCTCACAGAAGGTTTCTTGGGTCTGAGCAAGGCACAGAAGCAGCAGGGCCTCTCCCTCGGCTGCAGGGGAGGGAGGATGGGTTGGGATGCGTCCTGTGTGGACTCATGCCAGCGAGCACAGGGACACCTTCCCTCCCCACACCTCTGTGCCCTGTACCAGGTGTCACCCCAGAATTGTGAAACTGGGATCCACTGGGGAACTCAGAAAGGCTGAGGTGGGAATTTCCTGCCAGGCTGGCAGAATGGGAGGTGGGAGATAAAAATGCAGTTGAACTATGAGCAATAAAGATCTACTTCTTCATATGTGAGTCTATGGCCTGAGATTGGCATCTGCTCTACTCATCTGCCATAGCCCCGCCCACCACTCAACACAGACGTTGCCTAGAAGAGGCTGAATCACAACATCCCTTCAATTCCCATTTCCTTTCCCCTACACATGGAAACACATCCCAACACTCACCTCCAGAGAGGAATTGCCCACCCTGCTGGTCATGTTATATACACACTGGCTCTCTGCACTGCAATTGCAGACCACGGTCTTGGGCTGGAGTAGGGATGACAAGCCAACCTTGGCGCTTCTTGCTAGAATCTCCAGATTGAATGGTGTCAATGACTTTGGTGTCCATAGCAATGTTCCATTCTCTGCCCAGGAAAGATGAGATAGTTGAGAGCTGGAAGACTCCTCTGCTCTGTGGTCAGATGCATCCTGGCATCTAACACCCTGACTGCTGATGCTGGGATTTCCTCCACCCTTCTCAGACCACCCCGCACATCTCATCAGGCATTTCCTTTGAGCAGGCTGGTATCCTGGTCACGCTCCAAGCTGGAAGGAGGTAGCACCAGCCCACGTACTGATTGTAGGCAGGAACTCCTCAGAGAGGAAGGCAGTTTCCCCAAAGAGACCCCTAAGGGCAGCTCCCCAGGATAGCATGTCCAGGGGGATAGAGGAGGAAGGCCAGGATCCTCCCAACACTTTCCCAGGCTACACTGCAAGCCAAACTGGCTTCACCCTGATTTCTCACCCACCCTCTCATTTCCCAGACCTTTGACCAGCCACTGGTCTAGGCACCAGACTACAGTGAAAAGCTGCTACCTATCTTCTGATTAAACCTGTCTTATGTTTATCAAGAACATGGGAAAATCTCCTTAAAGCAGCAGGTTGAAAGGAACTGATACTAGGGAATAGATGGCAGTAATTTCCAGACTGTCACTCTTCAGGAGTGGAACCCAGTGGAGAATAAAAATCTCCTGATGCAATGGGTGTAGACAGAGCCATCCCTTCTTATGCACAGAGAAATAAAATGAGGCAGAGAGGTGATTAGAACTCACAATATAGTCCCTGGGGTCTTTGGTTTAGCAAAGAACAGTCACCAGCATTGTTAATGTTGGCAACAGACGGAAGGCTACATCGCTTGTGCTTTGAGCCTCTGACCCAGATCATGGATTCAGGCCCAGGGGGCGGGGGGTGTCTCTAATATTAACCATTGCTGAGAGGGAAAGATGAATCTGTGCATGGCCCTAGCACAGAAAATCAGACAAGGAATAACAAAGCTTGGTTAACAAGCATGGTTAGCAAACACAAAAATAGTGAGAAAGGTACCAAATGAAGGTATTTGTATTTCTTTAAATCTTGTCCCACATTATATCTTTCTTTTAATAGACATAAAAATGTTATAAATTAGTATTTTTAAATTGTTTTACTTGATTATTCTAATATTTTGGTGACTATATAATAATGATTAAAGACGATAGCATATTATTAGATTGAGATTAAGTGATCTTTGGATAAGATTTAGGTGCTCAGAGTGAGTCTAGCTATGTGGCCAAATTGCCTTAAGCCTGTCATTACTATTCACCTAGGAGCACCTGTTTGAATTATCAGTGTCATTCCTAAGAGATGCCAGTCCTGGATATTCAAATGAAAAAGTGACAGGAAGTTGTGCTGGGTATAGAAATGCAGAATTATCCAAAGTTTGACTCTGACCTCATCCTCTACCCACTCCCCCCACCTCCCACCCAGCCAAACATTTTTACCAAAGAGCTTAACATCAGCACAGTTGTTTCCAAGAGAGAATGTGACATCCTCAGCGTTGCTGGTGTACTGAAACAGCCTGGTCTGCCCTCGGTAGGCTTCAAGCACATGAGATCCATTAATAGTGGGTGGGTACTTATCTGAAACACACAGGGGATGTGGTCTGAGACAGGACAGAATCTTGCCATATCAGCCTTCTCTCTCTTTCTCAAACTATGAGTGAGGCATTCCCAGGATAGTGACCCAGCTCTGGAAGCAGGTTGGGGCTGTCTGCTCACCTGGCCAAATCTTTAGCCTCTTTCTTTGCCCTCAAGCAGGGTTCCTTTCAAGCTCTTTCCTGAAAAGAGTGCTATGCTGGGCATGGCACAAAGTGAGTCAGAGAACATGGCAGACTATCAAAGAGTTTTACCTTTGGAAAAGGGCTGGAAACCATGAAAGTGATATCTAGATGGATATCACATTAGTCCAGAAACAGAGAGGCAGTAAAACCTTTTCACTGATCTTTCTTGAAGCCCTGCTCTTTTCATTGCATTGCTTGTTGGCTCAGCCAGTCTTTTAACAAGGATTTATTGAGCAACTACTATCTGGCTGGCACTGTTCTATGTAGTGAGGATATAGCAATGAACAAATAACAAGAAGATACCTGTGAAAATTATAAAATAAGTAGTTACAAATGCCAGGGAGAAAAAATAAAACAGGGTAGTGAAAGCTTCTGTGGCTGTCTTAAAAAAATTAAAAAACAAATAAAGCAGAAGAGGGGATGGGAAGTATGTATGGGTGAACGTGAAAATTTAGGTGGAGGGAGGCTCACTGAGAAGGGCATTGAAATAAAGGCTTGAAGGAGGTAAGGGAGCAAGCATGTGACTGTCTCGGGGAAGGGCATTCCAGGCAAGAAAGCAGCACCTCTGAATCTTGGAGTTGAGAATGAGTCTGGAGTGTATGGAGAACACACAGAAGCCAGTGGGGCTGGAGTGCAAGGTGCAGGCTAGGAGCACAGCACCAGGAGAGGCAATGGGCCACACTGAATGGGGCCTTTGAGGCCATCGCAAGGGCAGAGAGAGCTGGGAGGAGTCTAGGGAGGGTTTTGAGCAGAGGAGTGTGAGCAAATCAATCTGTTAAATGAACAAAAACGCAGGGCTTAAAGGAGTGTCAGGGAAGGGCAGCTCCTCATCTGTTCCCCAGCTCTGAAAATGCCTCCCTGGGCCACACGCCGCTTACTGAGGGTGGTGTTCATCTCCTGGTATCTTTTAAAGAGCATCATCGTGTGAAGTCCAGTGCTTGTGTCACCGGTGAGCAGGGCGTCATAGATGCACTGTCTCTGCCCATTACAGCTGGAGACGACATTTTCATGCAAGGATTTGTTTCTCCACAGTTGGGAAAAGAAGACAGGGGTGAAGTTGGAGGGCAGATGGTCTTTCCTCTCGCCAAGGAGGCTTGTTTCATTGATTTTCCCTGTAACACATGGGGGTGATGGTGGTTCGGGGTGGGACTCAGCCATATTTCTGCTGTGTCCTCCCTTAGCCCTCGGGTTATGTGGCTCCGGGTGGGGGACGGGTCGTGCGGGACACAACAGCTTCTGAATCTGGAAATCTCTGCTCCAATGAGTGAGGGCACCCATGTCCCCACCCATGTTCCCCATTCTCTCTTCCAGGTAGAGAGATGCAGGTGGCATGAGGGTGGAAGGAACAAATCTGGGGTGGCATCAGAATCCTCAGGCCCTTACAAAGGCCGGAGGTCTGGCTCCCACAGGCCTGAGGGAGGCAGCATACCAGCTCCCTCATCCTGGCCTGCCCCATCGGCCGAACACTGAGGCCCAGACTCACAGGTCATTCCGTAGTGAAAAAGCGTCTCCTCAGAGCTCTCTGGGGAAAGGGTGGAGCCATTGGGCATCCTGAAGTCATCTTCTGGATTGTCGTTCCAGACCCCTAAGGGACAGAGCAGGAGGTTGACCACCCTGGGGATGTGGCCCTCCCCTTGCCACACTGGAGACGTAAGGGGGGGCCTGGGGGAGACCTCACACCCGCCCCTCTGCTCTAGGGGGGCTGCAGAAGAAAACACAGGAGGAGATGGAGGAAGGGGAGAGGAATGTGGGAGGCAGGGGAAGGAAGGAAAGACATGAGGGATGGAGAGAGGAGGAGGATGCTGCGCCCCGACCCTGCCCAGAGCTGTCCTTGGTGCTCCCTTGGAGCAGCAGCAGGAGGACAGGAAGTGAGCCTCAAAGGTGGCTAAAGAAATCCCTCCCCCCTCCCTGGCCCCGTCGGTGCCCTAAAGGTTCTGCTCCAAGGAGGCTGAGAGAGGAAAACCCGGAAGGGGTGTCCAGGTCACGGGAGGCGGAGCTGCCCTCCCCCTGGGGTCTGAGCTTGTACCCAAGAGGCCTTCTGTGTGGTTTTGATACTCCTCTGGGAGGCTGGAGGAGGCATGGAGGATGTTGGAGAGAGCAGTGACTGTGATGGCTGTTGTCCCATCGAAGCTGGCTGACACCAGGGAGCTGTTGCGGGTCAGGAAGATCCCAGTGGCATTGAATATCTCCCAGTCTAGAACATTGAGAGGCGGTGAGAGAGCACCAGCATTGGTGCCTGGAGGCCACTGCCTGGGCCGCAGGGAAGGCTCACGGTGCAGAGCACAGCCTCTGAGGGCAGCTCTGGGATGTCCTGAGGGTGCCTCACCCAGCGGCCCCAAACCAAATGCACATGCCACCCTCGAGGCCCACACCACCGCCTTCCTGGGGACTAAAGATGGGGGCCATGAAAAGAGAGGCCTCAGTGCTGGAAGGAGGGGGGACATGAAGAGGGAAAGTATGATGCCCAGCTTCTGGGAGAAGAAGCTGCTCAGGTACAGCTGCTGAAGGGACAGCGGGGGACAGCCACTCTGCTCTGCCCAATGCCGCTGCTTCCACCCCCCACACACCGCCCCCAGCACTGGACACCCTGCTGAACTCCCTGGCTGATAGCTGTCCCCAGCCTACCTTCTCCATCTTCATGCTTAGTCTCAAATGTCACAGTCTGGTTATTGAGCAGAACACGGATAGTGTCATTGGGCTCAAGGAACCATTGAACCTGGAAGGGAATTGGAGGAGGCTTAAGTCTGACCTGCAGGTGGAGAAGAAGGTGAGAAAGGGGGCTCCAGAGAGCAACTCGGACTAGAACCTGAGCCTGCATGAAGAGAAGGGTGCTGAAGAGGGTGGCGATGAGGTTATGCTCGCTCACGCCTGTGGCAGGCAGGTGGGGCCGGCTCTGTGCTGGGCATGCTCTTGGATCATCCCATTTAAATTTCACAACAGCCCTGAGGGGTATTATCTTCATCTTACTATAAGAACACTGAGACACTGAGCTAAGTAGTTTTCTCAAAGTCAAACAGCTCGTACATGGTACAGCCAGGACCCCAACCTTTATCTCTGGATTTACTCTGGAACCATGACACCAATGGGATGTGTCCTCTCTCTCTCCTGCCCCCCTTCCCCTTCCCTTTCTGTGTTCTCTTCCTCCTCCTGGGCCTCAATTTCCAGCTGAAGGTCCCTGTAGGGTTCTCTGTGGGGGGATGCAGAGAGGTCCTGGGTGCCCCAAGCTCACTGTGATGGGGCCCAGGCTGCTGGAGTGGTACTGAGCTGCAAAGGCAATGAAGTTGGTGGCCTGGACAGAGCCCATCTGGGCAGTGCGGCCCTGCAGCAGGAAGGAGGAGTTTCCATCCCAGGCCCGGACCAGCAGGAAGTCCCCCAGCCCATTGAAGGTGTAATTGACACCATCCAAAGTAGTGATGTGGGGGTCCCCAAACAGCCAGGCTGGAAGAAAAGGAGATACTGCATTAGCATGGCAAACCATGGGTAGAGGCTAAGATTTCCCATTGCCCACCAGTCTGGGCATTTGTCCAGGTGGACTCAAGCCCTGGGGAGATGTTTGTGGAGTATAGAATCCTCCCCCAAGGCCTCTTGCACTTTCATGTCCCCAACACCCATTCCCACTGCTCCCTAGTGCCATACACAAAAGCCCCCCATTTGTCATCAGCGCCACATTGGAATCATCTTCTTCCTCCCTTGTGGCCACAGCTCTGCCCCAGGAAGCTGGTCCTCTCCTGGTCCAGCCCCATGTCCCAGAGGCCACCAGGCTACCCCTCCCCAGATGCTCGGCCTGGGCCCTGACCCTCACCTGGCCGTGGGGGCCTGTATCCAGCACAGCCAATGCAGGGACGCCTCTGCCGGTACTGGGTGCAGAGGTAGGGCTTGTCATTCCAGCGGCAGCACCAGTTATACGGCTCCAGTTCGCGGTCTGTGAAGAACGGCATGTTGGGGGAGGCAGAGGACCTGGAGAACTGGCTGGAAGGCTTGGTAGGGCGGGATGGTCTCGGTGGCGAGAGTGTGGCTTCAGAACCCTGCACACTTGGGTTCCAATCCTGCTCTGCTCAAGGACCTTCGTGATGAACCAGGTACTGTCTCCCTTGCAGGCATGTTGGGGCCATCGTGCAGCAGGGCATGGTAGGATGGTAGGAGCTAAGCAAACTTCCTTTCTTTTTTTTTTTTTTTTTTTTTTAAATAATAGAGACGGGGTCTCGCTCTTGCTCAGGCTGGTTTTGAACTCCTGACCTTGAGCAATCCGCCCGCCTCGGCCTCCCAGAGAGCTAGGATTACAGGCGTGAGCCACCGCGCCCTGCCTAAACTTCCTTTCTTGAAGGGTGGGTATCAAGTCCCACTGCTCTCCAAGTGCTGGGAGTGGGGAGGGCATGGCTGATGGTCTGGGGACAATAGAGACTGCCACGGTACAGGGAGGAGGATGGGAGGACACAGACCTCCCACCACGAGCTCTCTCTAGCTGCCTTGCAGGGTCTCTGTGGGAGCTCTGTCTTTCCCCACACAGCCTGCCAACCTGGGTCTTGAGGGACGAGGTCGAATTAGGCCCTCCCTTGCTTGCAAAGATGCCCCAACTCAGGACCACATGGAGATGGGGCAGCGGCACTCAGCCCTAAATCCTTAGGATGTCAGCTCATGGGGATGTTGGAAGCCGCTTAACTACAAGATCAGGAAATTGAGGCCCAGAGAGTGTAGGAGCTGGGAAGGAGTGGGAACAACCCTTCATTCTGAGGGTCCCATGTCTTGGCTGGGAGGAGCAGCAGCCTCCAGAGAAGGTGGGGTTGTGCACACACGTACCAAACTGCCAAGGGCTCTGCACTCTCCAGCCTTCTCGAAGCTCTCCCCAGAGCCCGTAGCTGCAGCACACGCCTCCCTGCCAGGAGGAGAAGCGGCACAGCTGCTTGCCGCTCCGGCCCCACCTGCCTGCAACACACAGACATACTCAGGCCCAGGCTGGTGGTGCCTGGGTGAGGGTGGGAGCAGGGCAGGGGGTGATTCTGGGGAGGGGCTGAGGGCGCCTCAGAAAGGACAGGTCAGGTGTAAGAGGAGAGGATGGTGGGTGGGCTTGTGGGGGACAGGAAGGAGGTGTCACCTATGCTGATGGGCTGGAATCGTAAGTCCCAAAGTCCCTGCTGCCAGGAGCAAGGGCAGGAGATCTGGTTCCTGCCCCACCTGGGCCGCTGAGGTGAGCTCTTCAACCACTGCAGGCACATGAGACGGTAGTTGGGCCTTTGCTCCCTGTGTAGCCGGTAGATTTGCAGCCCCCGGAGGCCTGGGGGCGGGGGGCAGGGGAAGAAGGGGTCATCCTGGGGCCTGGGGCTGCAGGATCATGAATTCACCCCCTGTGCCACTCCCCACCTCTCTGGACAGCTTCCAGGGATGGGACCCAATTCAGATTGGCAATGATTCCTCCCCAAAAGCCCATATGAGGTACACTCCAAAGCTCTCAAATCTTGGTTCTTAGGACAAAATCCTGGAACAAGTGCTGGGGTAGGAGGTCTCACCTGTACCCAACTCAGAGCCAAACTCTGGCTCTGACCCACCTCTTCCATCCTGTCACTCTCAGCTCCAATGCCTTCTAACCCCCCTGTCGGTCCCTCCTCATGCACCCTCTATCTCAGCCAGGGATGCCACCATCCACCCAGGCATGCCATCAGGCACTGGCCCTTCACCCTTTGTGCTCCCTGTCCTCCAGCCCAGACTGTGCAGTGGCCAGGGCAGCCGGGACAGAGGCCGATGCCCACAGGCCAGCAGGGGAGCCACAGAGAAGCTGGCACGTGAAGCAGGGGCCTGCTCCAATATGACGAGGCTGGGGAATGCCTCCTCCGGGCCCAGACACCACCTTTGGAAGGGAGAAGTAACTGGGAGAGGAAAGCTTAATGGGGGTTTGGAGTTTAAATAGACCTGAAATTCCTGAAATAACCTGTAAGTTACATAACACACACCCCAGCTGCATGGATGAAAAGGGGGTGCCAGAGGTCAACAAGACCCAACAGGATACAGTGTGTGAGATTTGGCCCCGTACACACACAAGTGAAAAAATTATCAAGATAACTACAATTTAGAGTTTTGAGAAGAATAATCATTGTTTATGATTATGTGTTCATGGGTCTTCTCCACAATGTCCTGCTGTCAGGAGAAACATCAAATACTCCTCCTCAACACACAGACACACACACACACACACACACACACACACACACACACACACACCATCCTCACATGCCCCTGGGCTACAAGATGGCACATGTCATTTGACTTAGCTTATGTTTCTGGTTACCAAAAGTTTTTGCCACAGAATAAATAGAACTGGATTTATACCTCACAGTTTAAACGACTGATTTCTAATGCTAATGCGTCCTTTGTCTTATCACATTTTGGAAACTAATTTCTTTCCCTTTCGGGCCTCGGGACATCACATTGAGTCATGGATAGTATGGCTCCTGTATATGAAAGTCTTTTTACCAGAGTGAAAGCTCTTTGACAGCAACCCTAGTCGGTCTTTTCCTTTTATTCATTCTTCTGGCAGTTTGCACAGTGTCCAGCACACAACAGGTGCTGAATAAATGATGACTGAGTGAATGCCAGAACTCTGGAGCTCCTCTTGGTAATTCCTACGAGGTATCTCGTCTGGGTTCCCACTCCAGGTCTGGGACAGGACACCTGAGTATTGTACGAACTGCCCCGTCAGGCCCCTGCCTCCCACAACACCCCTGTCCTCACTCCCAGGACCTGGCCCTCACGGAGAGCCCTCCTGGGATGTGGCAGGTATGAGCTTAGCCTGGCAGGACGCCCAAGGTGCGAGATGCCCCTGGGAATGGTGGAGACGCTGCCAGCTGCCCTCTAGGACTCCCATGGCATACGGAGGGAGAACAAAGGAGGGCCTGAGACCAGCTCAAGAGTGACAAGGTAGCACTTTTACCTGAGTTGGAATCCAGGAATTGGTCTGGACGATACCTCTCCCACAGTGGCCGGGACATCAGTGGGCTGTTTTTGAAATACCCGTCTCCACTGCAGGCAAAGGGAAGACCCTCAGGCCTCTGCCACAGCACAGGCTCTTGCCCTACAGTTGAAAGCGATGAACTCATTCAGCTCATCAGTCAGACAGCAGCTGACCAGCAGTTGCTCAGTCAGCGGGTCAGCTGGTCAGTCAGCCCGAGTCTCTGAACCCAACACAGAGCAGGAAAGGGGAGCAGATGGCTGGGCAAGGTGGGAGGCTCTAACTTATCCCACGTCTGATTGTCTGATCACTAACTGCAGGAAACTGGCAAGTCCACCTGGTCATGAGACAGGGGTGTGAAAACAACAGAGTTCAGGCCTCCCTTCTGTTTGTTTCCCTTAAACAAGGGATTGAAGAGGGACATATTGTGGGGGACAGTATATTGTGATGGTTAAGAGCTGGTCTCTGGAGTTAGGCAGTCACGTGTTCAGCTGCTGATGCCAGCACTTACTAGCTTGGTGCCCATGGGAAAGTTACGTAACCTCTCTGATTCTTAAGTTTTCACATCTACGTAAAAGGGACAGCAGCATCTACCTCACAACACCGTGAGGATTAAATGCAGTGATATTTGCAAATCCCTCAGAATTGAGTGAAGCCTTGTTATAACAGGCACTGCCACCTCCCCCACCACCACTGCCATCCTCACTGGTAGGTCCAGGCGCTGCTCCAGGACGCAGGAAGGCTTGGCATGGCAGCCTCAGCCCACGTGCATGCTGCAGGGCAGTGACTCCTGATGTTCTCCCTCTCTGACACCAGCTAGATGACACACATTTACATGATACTTCCCTTGGGTGTACTCCAATGGTGTGAAAGTCCTAGCTAGTTGGGTCATTCTACTCCTTTCTCCTTCATAGCACGTCAAAAAACTAATGAAAGCAACTTCATTACAGAGGCAACCTGAACAGAAAATTATTTGTGGCAATTGCCAGGAACAAAGTGTGACCTTCACAACTGATTGTCATACATCAGCATATGGGCATATATGACAGAACGGTTGTGTCAGAGCCTGAGCCACCTCCGCATACCGGGAACCCACCTTTCAACTGCCCATAGTCCCCCCCTGCCCTCCCTCCTCACCGCTGGCTCCACATAAGCTGCTGGGTGCCCCTGGGTAAGTGGGTCATTCTCAGGAGGTCAGGAAGACAGGTTCCAGCCTCTGAGGTCTAGGTTCAAGTCCCCACTTTGCCACTTCCTAGCTCTGTGACTTTAGGAATTATGCATCTATTTGTTTCTTAGTTTCCTTATCTGTAGAACGGGGATAATAAACAGTATCTACCTCATTGGGTGGTTGTGATAATCAAAGGAACTAATGTACATGAAGTACTTAGCATAATCAATCTTGGCATTTATTACGATATTGAGAAGTCAAGAGAGGCCAGCTAGTGTTAGTGGAAACCAGGGAAGTCCAGGCTCTTGGAATTATTGCAATGCACAGGGATTGCGATGGGAAAGAGAATGGCAGGATGAGTAGAGGAGTTTGTAATCTGAAATAGCAAGGTGCGTGGCCCAGCAGAAACCAGAGCCAGTGTGTGTACGTCAGAAGCAGCAGCAAGGACAATGGCACCTTGTCCCAGGGACAGAAGTGCATGTGTAGCGAAAGCCCACTCTGCCCCTCTTCCTGCCATCTGCTCGGCACCGACAGTCCCTCTCTTCTCACCTGGAGAAGCCCATGAGGACGGAGGTGCCTAAGCGCTGGGTCACATCCCATCGCATCCCGCCGCTCTGGTAGAGGAACAGGGCGTAGGACCTGCTTCCATCCGTGGAGAGGATGGCCTGGTAGGTGTTGGTCTGGGGGTGGGTGGGAGACAAACACAGGATGCCTGTGAGAGATCTGGGGTCTCCTCCCTCACGTACCGTCACCTGGCCCACACCCCTGCCCCAACACACACATCACCTGTTGCTGGGCTGTGCAGAGCAAAGGCATGGGCCTAAAATGCTGGCAAGTTTGGGATCAGTTCGGGCAGCTTTCCTCCCTTTGGCAAAGCACTTACCATGGGGGACTTGCCTTTTTTGTGACTCTTTTCCCAGGAGGGGAGATAAAGGGCTCTGGGTTATAATCCAACCAGAAGAGGGTTTGTTAGAGAAAGCTACAGGAACCTGAGAGATTAGCCAAGACACCAGAGACAGGGAGAGGCTTAATTAGCTCTGTTGGGAACATTTAAAGACATCATCCAAATTGTTCCCTCCATCTGAAGAGCATGGAGGACCTGCAGCAGGTGAGACTGGAGGTTCTCTGAAGGCACATGCCTTGTCCAAAATAGGTCATCAGTGAACTTCTGCTGAGTGAATGAAGGAATGAGTGGCTTCAGACCAGACACGAGGAAGAACTTTGCAGCTGTAAAATCTTTGAGTCCTCAGAGGGCAGGCTGAGGAGACTGTGGTGTGCCGCATTCCCACTGGGCGGCACTGTGGTTAAAAGCCAGAGCTCACAGTCAGAAAAACCTCCCTCCAGGCATGGCTTTGTCATTTGCTACCTGGATGACCTTGAGCAAGTCATTTATCCTTCCTAACCATTGTCTTCCTCATCTCTAAAATGCGGATCATATTTAATATCAGGCTGAGCTATTAATATATGAAATTGCCTATTGCCAGATATTTCTGACTTACAAAAATGCCATTTCCTATGTTTCAACACAACAATACCTAATTTGCTGGGCTGCTGTGAGGTCAGGTAAGTGAACAGCTGAGGCAGGCCTGGTCCATGGTGAGTGCTCAGCAAATGGTGGTGGCAGCAGGGGTTGCCGTAACCAGCAGTGGTTCCAGAGAGGATTGTAGAAGAGTAGCCCCTGCCTAGGACTCTAGAATGTCTGACTCCCAGATGGCTCATGGGGAGCTGTCTGTGGGTCCACTCACCCCAAGGATCCACTCACCCCGAAGGTCCACTTGGCGGGGTAGGCGGGGGCATTGACCCACGTGACCTTCAGGGTCCACCTGGCTTTGTAGTCCTTGGAGTTTGTGAACTTTTTAATCAAAGACTCCACCTGCCGGACTAGTGGGTGATATTCACCATAGAGTGTCACGTATTCCTAGGAAAGGAAGGCAGATAAGAACAAGGAAATGAGGGTCCACTCACCACACCTGAGGGATCCCCACTTTCTGCTTGGGGATCCTATAGTCCACTCCTGTTGTACATCCCTCTCTGTCTCAGGCCTGCACTTTTACAATTAGCTCTTCTTATCTGAAGATCAATTCAAATTTGGGCTGCAAGAAAGCCTGCAGTGTGGAATGGAAGATCCTGGCCCAGAAGTCAGAGTCCTCTGGACTGGAACTCACCTATGTCTTAGCTGAAACTGGCTCTCTCGGAGCCACCTGTGCCCATGTCTTCCTCCCCATGTCTGCCTGGTGGCTCCTGAGGACAGGCATGAGTCTTTCCATCTTTGGAGCTTCTACAATGCCTTGTCCACAGCAGGGCACAATATGCCTTTGCTGCAGCAGCTTTCATTGCATGCATCCACTGGTTGGAATTATTAACCCAACGCAGAAGCACAGGAGGGCCCTGCTTGACTTGTTAGGATAGACCCTCTACGGACTTATTTTAAAAGCAAATGCTGAATTGCCAACCCCTATCCCCGTCCCCGGCAGGTGCTCTTGGGGTTGGGTGTTCCTGAGTCTGATATTTCTTATCTGCTCCTTCCCCACGCCCGTGTTTAATCCGTAGCCCACAGGAACCTAGGCTCTGACAGCAGCACCACCTGTGACGCCCTCCATACAGCCTTTTGTCCTTCCTGTGCCTGCTGATGGATCCCACTGCCAGGCTGTGAAAGGCTCACCTGGTAATATGTGGTTCCCCAGCCGCTGGAGAAGTCAGCATCGTCCCAAAACGGAGCCACCAGGGCCACAAGTTCCCAGCCTGTGAAGCGTCTTTGGAGTGGGTGGGGGTAGGAGAAAATCTGGTAGTCTGAGTCTGGGAAAATGATCTGGCCATTATCTGTGAACTGAGCATAGGGTTTTCACCGTTATCATTCAGAGAGAGAGGTGGGGAGGAGACATCCCAGTCTTGGGTGGGCTCCTTGGAAGTGTGACCCCAAGGTCCTCTCTGGGTAGAACTGTACAGATGTCAAGAACCCCTGGAAGGTCATCCCATCCATCTCCTGTCTGGGAGAGCCCTTTACATAATAATCTCACACAAACACCCTTCACCCTCAGGCCATTCCTCTGGGTCCTAAGGCAGTGGGTTTTGTCCCACTTCAGTGATAGACCCCTTGTGGTAGACCAGCCCTTCACAGGGCTCACACCTCCAGGTGCGTTCCCTCAGTCCATCCTGAGGCTTGTGACAGGTCCAGATGGGGTTAAAGGGGCCGCTACCCTCACTCCACTGCCAGTGCTGTGCTCTCAGTGTGTCCTGACTGAGCCCCTCCCTGTGGACCACAAGGGCCAGGACCACCATTCCCATTCTGCCCCGGGAGACAGGGACCAGGGGACCAGAGGTTAATCTTGGAAAATGGAGATGGCACAAACTAGGCAAGTTTCCCAGAGTATAACTTCTTTTTTCTTTTTTTTGAGACAGAGTCTCACTCTGTTACCCAGGCTAGAGTGCCATGGTGTCAGCCTAGCTCACAGCAACCTCAAACTCCTGGGCTCAAGATATCCTTCTGCCACAGCCTCCCAGGTAGCTGGGACTACAGGCATGCGCCACCATGCCTGGCTAATTTCATATAATTTCTATTTTTTGTAGAGACGTGGTCTTGCTCCTGCTCAGGCTGGTTTCAAACTCCTGACCTTGAGCGATCCGCCCACCTCGGCCTCCCAGAGTGCTAGGATTACAGGCGTGAGCCACCGTGCCGGGCCTAGAGCATAACTTCTTACTCATGAAAGGCCCCAGGAAAACAGCAGCGAGCTGGTGGGGCCCTCTTTGTACTGAGGTAGAGACGAGCTGTCCGCACGGGCGAAGCCCTGCCTCGCTCCCTGCTTTCCTCAGCGGCGCCCTGACGCGAACGGACTGTGGAGGTAAGCGCGGGGCCTGCAAAGGGGCTCCATTCTCCCCTCCTCTCGGTCTTGGGCGCCTGGGCGCTGGGGAGAGAAGCAGGCCCGGGGCGCCAGGCCACGGGTCCTGCGCTGGGGCCGCGGCCGGCCGGGGACTCACGTAGAGGGAATTCCGGAGAGAGGAGCCCAGGGGGAAGCCGATCTGGGGCTGGAAGAGCCGTGAGGTGAAGTCCTGAGTCCTCCTGACAAGCTTCCGGTCTCCGACGCGCGGCCCATAGCGGAAGAGGGAAACGCCTGGGCCAGGGCAAAGAAGAGTAGGGGGTCCTCAGGGGCCTTGACCCTCCTCAGGGCTGGAAGGGACCCCCGAAGCTTCCCCCAAGCTGCTCCCGAGCCTGGCACCATCCGGGTCTCCTCTCTCCCTCTCCGCTGGCATTTAACACATCTGTTTTACTCCTCAGCCTGGGACTCTCATCCTTCCCCAGCTTGGAGAAAAACAGGTCCCGCTGTCAGAATCCCAACAAAATTCCTGCATCTGCTCTGGTAGTCAAAATTCTTTTAAGGGTTAAAAGACAAAAGTCCGATGCAGTGAAGATTAGTAATTGAAAGAGCTTTCCATAGAATGAGACTTGTTTCCTGAGGTAATATTTCTCCAAATTTGAAGACCCAGTAGAATTTGTCCTAGGGCCCCCTAGAGGTCCCTGGGCTCCAATTTGGGGAAAACTTGTCCTGATTATTTCTCAGCGGGTCTCCTTCCCTCCACACTGGCAGCCACCGGCTCCTTGGCGCCCTCACCTGGTCTTGCTTGGAATAGCGCGGGGTTGCTCCACCGCCCTCCCGGCCTCCTCACCCACGCCCTGCAAATTCTCCCACCCTAGTGCCCTTTGTAAAATGCAAATCTAACTGTGTCCTCCCTGGTTCCCCTTACCTACAGGATTCCCCTGCACACCACTCACCACTCTTCTCCTTACTTTCAGCCACCCCAAATGCTTTGGGGCTCTCGTCTCCATGAGGCACTGGGCCTCCTTTTCACTTCCGGACCTTTATTCCAGTGATTCAGACCCTCCTCCCTGCCTGGGGTGCTCATTCTCCCCTGGCTCCTATTCACTCTTGCCAGGAAGCCTCCTGTTCACCTTGAACCCACCCCCACATCCCACAGGGGCTTTCCATTGTGTGAGGTTAATACCCTGGGCTTATTCCTCTAACTGCATCTACCCAGATGGTTGTTCTGGCCCTTGCTGAATGGCATTTCTCTATGTCCGGCTCCTAGCTCAGTGCCATGCTCAAAGCCAGCCCTCAGCACCCAACTCTGGTGCTCTCTCACTATCCACTATAAGGCCCTTCTGAACCGAGAGCAGACTGTGAGCAACCAGGCTGAGACTGAGCATTGAGTCACATCACCCCTCTTGGCGGATACAGGGAGCAGTGGGATTGGCATGGCCCAGATGGGGCAGTGGACATACCCAGAGAACTGGATCTCCCAGCAACCACAAGGGCTTCACTGGCAGATGCAGCCAGCTGACAACTACCATCTGTGCAGCGAGCTCCACTGCAGTGGAGAGGTCTCGCTGTGCTGCGTCACTCACCTTTCTGCGGCTGCGGAGGGACTGGGAAAGCTGTTGGATGGCTGGGGGTGGAGGTGGGAAGGGTCTGGGAGGTTGTCCAGGGTAACGGTGTTGCTGTGCTGCTCCCACTGTCCGTCCTCAGTGAGGCTGTGCTTGTTACTGGACACGCAGGGAGAGAGACAGGAGTGGGTCTTTACAGTAAGAGGATAGCAGAGCGAGATTCAAAGAAATCAGGAGCTGGAAGAGAGAGCCAGAAACCTTGTCTGTCTGCTAGTTGCTCCTAAACCACACCCTACATAAGTAGTTTTCTGCTAGGGCAGAGGGGGTGGTGACCCTGTCACCCATCGCTCCTCCACACACTTCATCCTCTGGTGGACCTGACTTCAACCCTAGTTGGGTGATGCTAATTCGGCTAATTCTAGGATTAATTGAGACAAAGGGATCACTATAAGAGATAGAGACAAGGGAAATCCCACCTACCTGAAGCCTCAGGCTTCACAGGGGACTGTGAAGATGCTGGGGAAGGTGAGGACATGCTGGTAACAGACAAAGGAGAGTTGAGACCTGTGGATAGGGTGCTGGAGCTCCAGAGGCCGACAGGACTGGAGGCTGCTTGAGGGAATGAAGAAACACTAGTTGAAGTACACAAACTTGACATGGTCAGAGCAGTGCACACATAACAAGAGAAAGCAGAGTCAGAAAAAGCACAGTTTTGGGATGGCTATAGATTAGGAAAGGATCTCTGAGAATACTCACATGCTACAGGAGTTTGAAGGGTGGTCTTGACCAGAGGATACATTGTAGGTGAAATTGATGATGTCAGTGCAGAACCAGTGCTCCTGCTGTCATTGACTGCAAAACTTACATCTATTGAATTTCTTGTGGAGTTGTCACTGGAGTCTAATGAATGAGTAGTAGTAGCAAGATGCTGAGAGCTGGAAGTGCTTGAGACAGCCACTGAGGACGCAGGGACTTGGGTGGTGTTTAACAAAGAGACACTGTCGGAATGTACAGGGGGAATGACCACTGCGGCCATGTTGTCTTCGGTGGCTGAGCTCGTGCTTGATGTCGGAACTTCTCCACTGGTGGGCAAGACTGTGGCAGGGGAATGGGAGGCCACGGGTCTCAAGGTGGTGGAACCGACAGCAGGTGGCCCTCCTATGGTGCCAGGTGACAAGGTGGCCATTGTTGTGTGGCTCTGGTGGCTGTCGCCGAATGCGGTGGAGATGAGGTTTGCCTGGTGGTGTAGGTGACCAGGGCGGGGGCTCACGTTTGTGAATGTTGCCTTTGGTGGGATAAGAGGTGGGGTGTGAGCGCCGAGAAGAAGTAGCTCGCCGGGAGACACCGAGCCTCATGTTTCAGATCCCCGCGAGTTCCTACACTCCAGGTCTGAGGCAATCTGGTGGTGGCTGACATTGCTGAAGAGAGTGCGGAAACCTGGGGTGACTGTGGCGTCGACGGTCTCCCTGCAGTTGAGACCTTGGTGATGCTGGAGAAGGTGCTGGGGACAACCACAGACACCATTCCCATGGCGCCTGGGCCGGTGTCAGGACTGGTTGAGGGGGACAAGAATTCAGTTGTCCCCTGAGCTGCCTGGCTGTGACTGGAGGGAGTCTGTGAGAAGCTTGTGATCCTGCCTGA